ATTTCAACATGAGACTTGAATTTGTCATTCAGTTCCTTTATCTTGAAAAACACCAAGTGTACTTTTTCTTTTGTTTTCTTTAAGTCACTGCACATTTCATTACAATGCCTTGTCAGTTGTCCTTTGAAATCTTCTGTTCAGTTCTTTTATTTATTTCTTCCATTTGCTATAGCTGCTTGATGTTTAAGAACAAGTTTCAGATTCACTTGCGACATCTGTTTTAGTCTTTCCCCCGCTTTATTTCCTGCCCTTTTAATGAGGCTTTCCATTCTTCCAATAAGATGTCCTCCCACAATTTCAGACTGTAGAAACTGGTAAATTTCTTCATCTTTTGTGTTGGTGTTTTATCCATAAAGTTGAACAACAGTCATATTAACCAATATTCTTTTTGACATATAGATATGTCTAAACACTAATAAAGTAGTACTTCATGACAATCTTGAAATGCTGTTTTTTAAAATGACTGGGAAGCTATTCTTATTCACTTTTTCATTTCCAGCATAGCAGAGTATGTTGTTGTTGTTGATTGCTGTTGAGTTGAGCATGACTCATGGTGACCTAATGAACAAAAGGCCAGAACTATGGTCATTTATCAAAGTTCATAGAGTTTCCAGAGACATGTTGTTTAAAAAGTGGATGCCACTCTAATTCAAAATGCCAATATCAGTTCATTTCAGTTTGCTTTTTTATCTTTATGCACTGTTTCATTTTTTTATGACTTCTGTTTTTGTTATGTGCCGTTGAGTCACCTGTGTACAGCAGCCCTAAAACCTTCTCTATCCTATGCTAATCTCACTGTCTCTGACACACCTACCCCCATTACCTTAGTCACTGAATCAATCTACCTCATAGAGGGTCTTCCTCTCTTGCGCCTCCTCCACCCTCCCAAGCATGATGCCCCTCTCTAAGGACTGGTCCCTCCTTGTAACATGTCCAAAGTATGTCAGCCGAAGCTTTAAAATCCTTGCCTCCAAGGAGCAGCGTGGTCTAACTCTCTCCAGGATGGATCTGTTTTTTCTCTTAGCAGTCCATGGTACATTCCATACTCTTCTCCAACACCACAGCTCAAAGGCGTTATTATCCTTCTATCATTTCTAGTCATTGTCCAGCTTTCTGATGCATAGCAAGTGATTGCAAAGACCATGGCCTGTATTAGATGCACTTTAGACTCCAGACTGACATCATTACTCTTTAGTACTTCGGAGAAGTCTCTCAGAACAGACTTTCCCATTGAAATACGTCTTTTAATTTCCTGGATGCTGGTGCCAAGAGTGTTGATTGTGGAGCCAAGCAAACTAAAGCTGTGAACAATCTCAATCTCTTCACCGTCTACCATGATGATGCTAATTAGCCCAGTGGTGAGAAGCTTTGTTTTCTTGATATTGAGTTTCAATCTATATTGAGGACTGCAGTCCTTGACACTCTGCAGCAAGTGCTTAAGATCCTCCTCAGTTTCAGCAAGCAAGGTTGTGTCATCTGCATAACGTAAATTCTTGATGAGTCTTCCTCCAATTCTGATGCCACATTTCTCCTCATAGAGCCCAGCCTCCCGGATAATCTGTCCTACATGCAGGTTGAAAAAGTATGGAGATAGGACACATCCCTGACATAGACCCTTTCCAATTTTGAACCATGCAGTGTTTCCTTGCTCTGTTCTGATGACTGCCTCCTGGTCCAAGTATAGGCTTCTAGTTTTCTTAAATTCCTCTTTTGCACATTCCACCTTCTAATTCCGGTGGATGTGCACAGTTGCCTTTTCTCATTTTTTGTTGCAGAACACCAGCAAATGAAGGTACATCATAAAGAAAGTTCTTGAAAGCTTTATTCTATCCACATCATTAAGGTCAACTCAGTGTGAGGAGGAAGCATTTCCTTAGTCCTATTCTAAAGACTTTCCAACTTCTAGCTCACCTTCTAGCACACCACCAAACAATGTTACGCTGCCATTCTTAAGTGTTTCACTGGCCAATTGTGTTAGAAGTAGATTGCCAATTCTTTTTCCTATTCTGTCTCAGTCTGGAAGTTCTGTTGAAACCTATGTACAATGAATGACCGTGCTGGTACCTGAAGTGCTATGGCATAGTTTACAGCATCACAGCTATGCACAAGCCACCACAAACAACAAAGTGACTGACAGGTGGTGGAATTAATTGTAGTTTGGTGCCATAGAGTTAAGTATGACTTATAGCAACACTATGAATAACCTGAACCCAGTCCTGTTTTGTGCCATCCTCATCATCTCTGATACACTTGAGCCCAATGCTGCCACTGCTGTCATTATGCCAATCCATCTTGTTGGGGGGTCTTCCTCTCTTTCTTTGACTCTTCATCTTTCCAAGCATGATGTTCCTCTCTAAGGAATAGTCTCTTCCAGCAACATGTCCAAAATATGAGAGATGGAGCTTTGCCATTTTTGCCTCCATAGAGCACCCTAGCTGCACTTTTTCTAAGACATATTTATTTATTCTTTTGGAAGTCCATGGGATACTCAGTATCTTCTCCAACTCTAAGGCATCTGTGTCCTCTAAAATTTGTCAACTTGAAGCCTGAAAATGTAGTTTTATTTGGAATTAGGGTGCTAGCAGATACAATTAAGTTAAGATGAGGTTATCCTGGATTACGGTGGTCTTTAAATTCAATATGACTGGTATGATACAAATGAGGAAATGTGATCATGGAGATATAAAGTATTTATATAAAGGTATGTACAGGTGTATGTTTCTGCATGAAAGAGTGCACACATGCACGCATGTGTGTATGTGTAGCTGATTGATTCTCCACACTTGTGCAATTTTTTCTAATAATCATATAATATTAAGATTATAATCATGTCAATGTAAAGTAGTTTTCAGGAAAAAGGCTTCCACTTGTTTCTACTATTATATGATTAAAGGTATATTATACCACCTGAATAACCTAGAAGACAGGCACGGCATATAA